TATACGTGCATAACGCCGTAGTTGAGTAAACAGAAGCTACTGAGATGAGATAAGAGAATGCAAGTTGGACACTCTCTGCAGCAGCTAAAAAAATGAAAAAGTAACAAATAATTTCCAAATATCGCACAGCCGCAGATAAAGTGTTATTATCGAATTGTAAAATAACAAAAGGGCTTCGCTCCGGTCGATCTTCATCAATATTTAACTAATATATAGCAAAAAATAAATGAACTCTCATAAACTTCCAGAGAATGGGAAGCAAAGAAAAAACAAAATTGCTAAATAATAGCTAAAAATTATAGAATAAATACCTAAAAAAAAAATTCGAATGATCAAACAACAAAGAAAAACCGACCTAAAAAAAAATTATGTATAATAAAATTTATGGAAACTGCATATAAACATTTAAAAATAAAATATAACCAGTGTGTTTAATTTCGAAGAAAGTCTAATTTTAATAACGGTGAGTACTGACAGCATGTAATAGCCTCCAAAACGTTGCGCTCTTTTGCTTGCAGTATGCCGAGCTGCCGCATGTTTTTCATAGAATACTGAGACTTGTTTTTTATATGCCAGATATACTCATTGACTCACTCATTATTTGCCTTCAAGTTATTTTTATTTTTTTTAAGTGTTTGAGAACGAGAAACGACTGACTTTGTCGAGACTGCTTCAAAGAAGAAATATACTCAGCATTACTCGTTATTTCCGATCTCTGGCGCCGATTTACTTACATATGGCCAGCCGTACAGTGTATTTAACTGAATTTTACAACCAGAATTCCATGTTGTCAGCAATAGAAACATTATGCAAAACATTGCAACCTTCGATATATATTTAAAATTATATAATTTAAGAATTTTAATAAATCTGTAAACTACTATACCAAAGTTGGACGTCTTCTTCCATCTTGTTCCTAAGCTTTTAATGAAACGAAATTTCTGTAGTTGAGGTTTAAACTTTATTGAAAATCATTACTGTTTGTTTGTTTATTCTGTGTTAGAGTGTATATAATTGTTCAGTGTTCTTTAACATAGCGTAGTAATATTATGTGCAATTTAACATAGCTGCTGTTGCTGTTAAGTATTGCTGAAATTTTCAGTATTTGCGACGCTTTTGTATGCCCGTTTTATTAGCACAAAATTATAAATGAAATAAAAATGCTCTGTGCGAAGAAAATTAAGTCTATACAAAGATTTTACAGTCGTATGGAATAAGTTATAGAGAATGTGAACTTAGGTACTGTAATTACATAGTCTTAGATTGTATATTTCGTTATTGACTTTTCTAGGAATGTCTTTCAAAAAATATTTTTTACAGTTATGGTAAATGTACAACACTTTTAGACAACATCGGGCTTTTATGGATTGCTCTTCATATCACCGAAGCAACGAGTGACCTACTGCTTTAAGATTGTTTGATATCATTTACAGTAATGAGCATGAATAACAGTGAAGGTAAATGTCGCAAACAAACATGACTTCTTCGGTTCTCTCAACAAAGCAAACAGTATATACTTGCTTGAAAGGCAATGTAATGTTAAGCATTGCCTAGCTGTAATGAAACGAGTGCATTATGTTCTCACTGTTAAAAGCGCATTCTCTATGCGTGAATATTGCAACATTTTTGACATGACTGTTAATTGTTAACAGCACTGCAATTTTTGAGTGCAGTGAATGTAAAGTTTAGTTCTTATAAGTACAGGAATGTTATTGTGCATATTAATAACAGGAATTATTGGTTTCCGGAAAATTTTTACATTTAATGGAAAGCATAACATTTCAATTAAAATATGTTTAATTTCAATAATAACGAATTCGAAAGATACTTAATTTAGATCGGTTTTCAAGCCACTAGAGAACGGGAAAGTGTGGAAAAATAATACAGCAGCTGTGCTCAATGCACAATAATATGAAGTTTCGAAAGTGGTGCATTACACTGAAGATATTTTGCGAGGAATGTTAATATTTTTGATGTGTTGTAGAATATATACAAATACTTTCATTTTGTTTTAAACAGTTGGGGTTGGAAAAAGACTTGAAATACTTACATATGTATATGGGTACTAGTGAGCCTTGTTGTTGCATATTGCACATTTACAAAATAAATTTCTATGTGTTACAAACTTTTTGTTTTTGTATGCACATGTATATATGTATATATACATACATACATATTTAAACAATTATATAAAGATGTGTTTATGCAAATATTGGCATGGCGGTACTTAGTTTAATGGTAGAATTATACACTTACAATTATATTAAAATTAATTTCTAGAAATTTAAACTCTAATTTAATTTTCTTTTGATTTTTTCGCTAAAAAATTTTTAAATTTTGTGTTTATTTAATTAACAAACATATAGATTACATATACTCGTACATGCTGGAAAAGTTACACGATTGTGTGTATATGTATTAGTAACATGTAAATGAGTATGTATGTGTTTGTGAATATCCTTTCGTTCGTTATCCTAATTTCATAACTAAGTATCTTTTAGATCATCTTATCTAATAGCAATCAGATTGTATCAATTTATTAATTACACAGCTACATATGTACGTATTTATCTATGCCTTAACATAGTTAAGTCTACAGTAACTGACAGTTCAAATGCATGTACCATATCTTATACAAATACGTGTACATGTGTTGTAAGCGTATAGCGTTTTCATACTGTTACATCGCTTCTTGCTCTCCAGCCACAATGCGAGTAAGAGTTCAGATGTAGTCTTTAATGATTTTGCGTTTAGTTTTCATTTATTTATAGATATTTTTATTGTTACTTAATAACTAATTTTTATTAATTTTTTTTCTTGTTGATTGTACTTCAAAAGAAATGTGGTTTTAGAATGTATACAAATAATTGTTGACGCTCAAAATCGTTTCATAGCGAAGAGAGGCTTATGTGAGTGCCTCATTGTGATATCAAAAACATATGAGCACTTTTTGAGAAACACATTAAGAATACAACAACATACGGCAACATATGTACACAATTGTAAATGCATGAAAGTACAAATGCGTTTTCTGCATTTATTTTATTAAATTTGTTGCCAAATCCCTTTTGCTCTTTTTCTTATTAGATGCCAACTTTAGAAGCAATTAAAAGCAATAATAAAAGCTCATTCACTTTGCTTATGATCGCTCCAGCCTTCATTACCAGCGAATTATTAGTTTACTTTTCTCGCTCTAAATTTTGTGTAATTATTTGTGTAATTTAAAAATAGAGACTGCAAAAATATCACAGATTTTCTTTAAAGGTGTAACAAATACTTTTCGTTTTTCGAACACAGGACTTTAGTGGAATGTTAGTGTATCTTTTCTTGCTAATAATTGTGATAGTAACTATATATAACTATAAAAAAATATAGACATTAATGTTGCATGAAAAATTGATATGTGATTTAATGCATTTCGGGTATGTTATTAAAAAAATCTTCGCAACAATAAATCATAATAAAAAGTAAATAAAAATAAATAAGAAATAATCAAAGAGAAAAAAAAATCAATAATTTCAGAGTTTTTTGGTTATTTCTATATTAAACAAAATTTTTCAAAAATCTTTTAGAAATCATGTTACTTTGCAGCAATTCTTATTGGGTAACCTTGATTCAAAAATTAGTTTTGCCAAATTAATAAACTTGCTGAAATGATTTTACTTGCTAGGTGCGCTCTAAAGCGAACCACTGCTATAAAACAAGGTCTGCATGGAAACTGTTTTCACTGTCCATTCGTTTAGTTGTGATTAACAGTTGCTCATTTAACATGTCTACTTACTGTTAACAACACTGCAACTGCAGTTTGCAATGTCAATTGATGAAGTTTAATATTATTGTACTCTAAAAGTTCCAAAAAGTTATTATGTTTGCAACTTGCAACTGAATGTACTCTAATAGGAAACTATCGATAGTATGAACAAAAATGGTTCCGTAAATGTGAAGTTTTGTTTTCTCATAAAAGTTAAAAACTGCAAAGCATCGGGTATTAGTATTTGAGTTATGAATTTTAATATATATAAACTGCAGTAAAATTTACTCCTTTGTTAAACTGAAATAAGCTTATACTGAGTTCATAACCTCAATTTAAATGAATTGTATTCGCATATACTTAACCTGTCGTAACTCTGTCAACATCTACTGAATATTGTGTACTAACGCCATTTGATTTTCTAATTCTTTATATAAAAATATAGTAAAACCTTACGCCCACAACTTACAATGTTTTTCTTTTTTTTTCTAACTTAAATTTTCGTTTAGTTCGTCGAATTATTAGAGTATTGATTTTAAATACATATAATTAAGGGGCATATATATGTATATTAATTAGGTTTGTATATTTGAAGAGTTTCATTTTAAGCCATTTCTTATTGAATCATGTATTTAAGTTTCGTTTCTAGTTCTTATCAAATTGTTTACCATTAATTGAATTGTGAAATTATGTCTTCAAATTTATGTTTGTTCTCTTAAGATTACAGTATTTACGCTAATTCCTAAACTTAATGAGCTTACGTATCAAAACACATTTTGTCTAAAAGTTTTTTTAGTAAAATGTTTCACGTCCTCGTTCTAAGCGTAAATCGTTTGAATGTCCATGTTTGTGACAGCACATTTTTCAATGGTAAGTAATTAACACATCTAAAAGATGATATTATAATTAACAAATACAGCTAACACAGCGAATGATCTACGAAATTTTGTAACAAAAATCTTTTAAAAAGACTGTTGCTCGACTCAAGCAAAAAGCTTAAAACCGACTTTTATACACTGCCTAAAGTAATAACAAAAAAAAAAAAAAAAATTTTATCAATTAAAATGATATGGTACAATAACATAAATAATACAAGATATTTTTTACAGTTAAAAATTAAAAAAATATTATTTAAATTATTAAATTTTTTGTAATAAAATTTAATTTTTTGAACAACAAATTAAGACAATGTGTTTATATCAACATTTAATTTTAGTTTTTTCTAAAACATCTTGAGTATATCTGGGCTCATACTTTTCTTCTCAGCGAAAAAATAAGACATACTCAAAAGGTTTGTGCACAGTTAAATGTAATTCGTTTTGTTTAAGTTTTCCATTTATAGTTATTCTTAAGGCATTTTCAAAATCTTCCCCAATAGGAGACGTACGAGGAAAAATTTCAAAAATGTTTTATTTATTTTCTTATAAATAAAAAGTGTCTATATTTAATACTTTCGTCGGGTTCCGGTTTTTTTTTTTTTTTTCAAAGACTTATTATTAGTTGACTTATGCATATACATACGTCTGCATATACGTTTATACTAATTTATAGCTTACTGTTAATGTAAGTGCTTAAATATGCAGCTAAATTTACCTTTAAATTATATGTAATCATGTAGATCGTAGATAATGCATGGTTGTATACCTAAACTTAAGATAAAACATTTTTTCGGAATTAACTTTAGAAAAATAGTGGTTTCAATTCAACTGCGTTGGTTAATCAATTCAAACTCTACTATACATCTCACTTGTTCTGTTAGTAAAGTGTTGGTCCCACCTCAACTAAAATAATTGAAATCTAACAATTAATGGTACTTGCTTTTTAAATTAAAATTTGTTTACAGTTTTTTATAAAATAGAATTCAGTTAACTGCAAATAACTGTTCTAGAAAAATAGTAGGCTTCTCTTATGTGCCGTTGGGAAGTACAACTGATAGCTAATTGCGTTTGCCTTAGAGAGTAATTGAGATTTTACGGTTACTTTTACTGATTTCTAACAATTTTGTTACACATTTAAAACGCTTTGTGAATTACAAAATTATAAAATTTATACTTATTACATTAATTTACGCTTAACACATAATATTTATTTGTATATATACAGTAGTGGGTTGTAGGTGTAGGGAGTGCGTCGCGTGTGGGAGTGGAGCTACAATTTATAGAATAATAATGATATTAGTGTTAAATATTAACGATAGTTAGACTTCAAATTGCTTATAAATTTAGAATTCAATTTTTAATTTTGCTCGAAGGTTTGCTTCTTTGATAAATTTCGAAGTTGTAATTTAGTCTACCTAAATCTTAAAAGCGTAAAGAAATGTTTGTTACATTGTTGTGTTCAGTTTGTGTGTGAATTCAAATCTTCTTACATTTTTCATAAAAATGTTCACTTAATAGTTGTACCCAAAAAACTCCTGAGGTACATTGACCAATAATACATTTTGTAACTACATTTAAATTCGTTTATAGTAATTATATTAATAAATAATTTGAAATTTTACACAAACGCATTGATAAGTGTAAAATATTTTAGTTTTTGTATTTAATTGAGTTAATTTTTTTAAATTTATAATATTGTAATTACTCAAGGTGCGCATTTACCACTGCATTTGACTACTTCGTTTATATGTTTTTAAGCAACATTTTAGTTATTTAAAAAGTTTAAACCATTTAATAAGTATTTGTAACTTATTAACAGCTTTCTATTTGTCAATCTGCCTTATAGTCTATTTAGTTTATTACTAGATGATTGTTTTATGCATTTTTGCTCGCCGTCAAAAAGTTCACACATACCTTTGTGTTTCGCCTTAACATTTTCAAGATATGCTTTCATTTCATTCCAAATAAGTACCGTTAGACCACAAGCATTAATTTGTTACAACAGCCAAACGCACGTCTTTTAATTCTCGTTCATATCCTTGATTGCTTGCAATATGCGTTTGACGTGTCCCACTTTAACTACACCCAAATCTTTGAGATCTCTTCTGCCTAGTGTTAGTAGCTCTTTGCCGCGTATATCGTTCTTCATGAAGCTCTCCACATATTCGGAGAGCTGCATTGTTTCTAGCCAAGTGACCACTTCGTCGACACTCCAATTGCTGGCAGCCTCGCGTGTTGTCGTTAGTGGGGGCTTCAGTTGTGTCTGTCCCACGGTGGAACCAGAACGCAGACGCACCCAGAAGTGGCGCGATTTGCGACGGCCATCACCCTAAATGAGGAGAATAAACAATGTTCACGTTAAAGTACACCCAACCATTATATCACCCATGTAAATCTTAGATTATAGGTATTTCACAGCTTTAAATAAACAGAAATCGACTTACCTCTTCATTTGGCGCCAAGGCATTGAAGTAGGCGCGCAATTTCCCATCGAAACTCTTCTGAACCGAACATTTCTTCAGCTCCATTTCGATATTGGCCAAGGCAGCGCTCAACTTCGACTCGAGATCTTCTCTTAATATTAAGCTATGTGCACGATCGCGTAATAAATTGCAGGAGTCCTCGTACAATTGACGCGCCGACTCGATAACCTCCACAAGTTTGGTGCGTAGTGTGGGACCCTCAAGTAACTTGCCATCCGGATGTATGGATTCGAGTACTTCGGCGGCGCGACAAGCCACAGCATACAAATCGTGTTGCAAAGATGGATGTGAAATTATAAGGAATTTCACCCATTTTACAAGCGAACTGACCGCCTCAATGAAGTTCAAGAGCACATAGCATTCACGTTCGGATAGCACCTCATCCGTAGACATGGCATGCTCTGATGCAGTGGATGATTGTTCACGCTGTATAGATATGCTATGTTGACGCTGCTTTTCTTGCCAGGATTTCAGTGATATTTCCAAATGACGATTACGGCAAAGCATTTGCACACGATTCTTGTGTAGTATACGAATCATGCCGGGTGGTTGTAGCCAAGCTTCGCCATCAACTTGTATGGGTATCTCTTCATCGCCCAAAATATTTATTTGTACGCTCTGACATTGTGCTATGCGATGATGTTGCAGATTAATGAGACGCGAAGCGGCCATTTGCACCGAACCGAACACGGCGACAACTTCGAGTATGCGATCGTCAAAGCTGGGCAAAAGGAAGATATCGTCCTTCTTGCTGGAGCCCCAGAAATTCGTGCCGCCCATAAAGCTGTAGTATGAATTGTATATTTGTAGATTTAATGATCAATAAGTAGAGTGTTATATTTGTTGTTACTCACCTGGGTATATTCAATATGACAATGCCCTGCAGGGATGGCAGCGGTATACGCTGCCCATCACATTCCAACTGCACTCGTTGCTCGAGATTTTTACATGTTTTCTGCAATAGTTGCTTCGAACCCAACACACCGTACCACATATAGTTTTTGGCACGCGAGCGACACTTCTCGGGATGCTCTTCCCGTTTGTTATGGAAATCAAGAGAGATCTTGGCATCTATACCAATACCAAAGTAATTGTTCATAACGCATTTTTCATGATAGCCTGCCAGCAGGGTTTCATCGGGATCCATTAGTGGACTAACAGCAGCGCAGAGCGTATCCGCATTTGCTAGCAAGCACTTGGAAATGAATCCGGAACTATTGGCTAACGCTAGATGGTAAAAAGGGAGTATGCAGTTAGTAATACATTAGGGATAGACCGCCTACTTGTACTCACTTGGCCAATTTGGTAGGCGTACGAGTGGATTAATGATCGGCATTTTCCTAGCGCCATCTTCAGCGCCAAGTAGACGCTCCTTATCTTTTTTGCCCTTATCGTCACGTTCTTTGTCACCACCTGGATTACCGCCACCACTGCCACCGCCAAAATGATCAAATCCAAATAGTGCCGAACCCATAAAAAGACTAGACCTGGAGCCTTTAAGTGTCTGCAGATTTGGTAACGCCTCATTTGGCTGCAAAGAGAGTATATATATGTGATTTCGGTGGCGGTAGCACGAAAAAACCGTTAAGTAGTGTGGAAAGTATCAGATAGTATTGCACTAACTACTAGTAAGTGAAGGAGAATGCTTGAAAGTTCAGTAAGTGTGTTTTAGAGTGGACAAATTGTATACAGTTTAGTTATGTTGTTCTAACTAAAAGTAAACAAAGTGTGAAAATTAATTCTTAAACGAAAGCAAACACAATATTTTATGTACAGAAAAAAGCAACGGCAGCGCAAATAATGATATTTCGGAGGACAAACGAACGAAGGAAGTTGAGAGTAGACCAGACAATAAGCTTGGGAAGAATGTAAATATGTAGTTAACTTTAGGACAGCTTTACAGAGCACTTAGGGTTTAAGTGGAGGTTATATAAACGAATTTACAAAGCAACTACAAACTCATGTGGCAAACTAGTGAAACAACTGTAACGCAATAAAATAGTAAATTGAGTTAGAAAAAATTAAACATTTTTGTTTCCTTAGCAGCGTTGCTTCGTTCTTACACAGGTCGAATAGTTCGCTGCGTTTCTATGAGAGGGCTCATTGTTATAACTTATTTATTAATGGTCTTTCTGATATTTCCTGACTCAATGTTAGGAAGGTGTAGTTAAATAATAGCAAACATTTATATACAAGCTAAACAGTTTTAAAACGAAGTTTATCGACTTCACAAACATTCCACTAACTAGAGTCACCCACGTAAATGACTGGTCGGGTGGCGAAGGCTCGATAAGCTCTTCACGAAAATTCAAATTGGAGCGAAATTCTGTAAGAATGTGCGCGATCTATCAAGTTGAATGCTCGAACTTTCTCTATGAGTCGAGTTCTTATTCAGAAACCAAAATCTATACGAGACGATCTTACTACCAGAGTGGTATTTTTGGAACATTAGATCGAACTGAACTTAGTCAATATCGTCAATATCCGAAGAACTCCATGGTCTAGAATTATCATAAGAACCAATGACCAAATCCCCGCCTAATCGACTCACTTTTGACGAATGAAAGGGAAGCCTTTTAAGAACTCAATAGAAAGATCTTAAAGTGAAATAAAATATACCATAGAAAGGGTGGAAAACACATCATATTATTATTAGAAAATAGTTCGAACAATAGATAGATAATAGAGCGAACAATAGATATCAAAAGTAAAAAATTAACGGGATAAATAACAATTTGAAAATAACTTATATTTATAATGAATTTTCAAAACTAGAATAAGCACTCTGTTCTAACAACATACAAAGTTTCGAGAAACTTCAAAATATTAGACAAACTTGGTTTGGGAACTTGCTAAATCACTGATGGTTCATTGCGTTGCTCTTGGTCTGGATTTAGAGTTTCTAATGTATTGTTTAATCACTCCCAATTACCCGAACACATGAATATTCGATAACATTAAAAAAATATTTTTAGATCTCACGGGTTCCACCATAAAATAAGAGGAGCACAATTTCACAGTCACAGTCGACACAAAAACAGGAAATTCACACTTCCAAACAGGGGTTAATAAGCATTTGGATTGATGGGGATATAAATTGGTCATTAAGGATTTATTAGCAGGTTGAGTTTGGAATGCTTACCAACGGTATAAGTGGTCTTATCAGAGCCAAAGTGGCCAAACGTATATCCGGCTCGGCGACCACAAAGAAACGCAAACCCAACAATCCGTACGCGCGCTCTGAGAGGCATTTCTTCGAATGCTTCTTCTATAACCACATAGGTATGTACGAGTATATATTTAAAACTAAAGGTTAATGTGATGATGAGAGTTAAGATTATGGTGTTTGTGTTTTGGAGAACCTTCTGTGTGATTAACAAGTATAACAGTGTGTAAATAAAATTTTTGTTGTGTAGAAGTAGAGTACATAACTGTGTTCTTGTGTGATTACATTAATGGGAAAAACTGAAGATTTGGGACTTAAGCAGCGTTTTGACAGCGAGAGTTACAGCATATGCGTTTTCAAATACATATGTATGTATGAATGTAAGTATGTATGTATATTTTAAATATTATAAGAAATTTTGAAATACATACCAATTCTTTTCGCTAAAATTTGTATATTTTTTTTCAATTATTGTTTTCGTAGATTTTGATGAAATATATGTAAATTAAGAGAAATCATTGCTAAAATTGTGTGTAAACCTAAGCAAAGCCTAACAAAATAAGGCTAATATTATTAGATAATTTATATAAAATACATACATATGTAAAACTTGCTAACTACTGCACTGACCTTCAACATAAAACTTCTCCTGTAGTTTTCTCTCATTTTATGTTATTCTCTCCCTCTCTTTCACTATCTCCCTCCCTCTCCATTTATGTGTAATCATATGCACAGAAGAGAATATACGCTAACAGAACTTACCTTGAAGAGACTGCCACAGCTGATGCGTCGACTTGCTGCCGGTGACGAGCTTAAGAATTTCGTATGCTCCGGATCTAAACTTAACAAATTTGGATTGAAGCCCGAATGTCGACGATCCTTCTCGGCATGCTCTCGCACCGCTAGACTGGTTGTTGCATGACTTGAGTGCCGCCTCAACTCCATCGGCAGCATACGGGCCGACAGTAGGCTGGCTGCCGACGCTGCATTCACCGATTTGATAGCGTCTCCACGTAATGGGGTTGGGGGGCGCACAACTACACTTATCTGCGGATAGTTTGGATTTACATCATCAAAGGATTCTTTCTTACACGACTCATCAAAAGTAATGCGCTTTACATCTTGTCCGTGTCCAGATTTTTTGGGCGATGTGCTCAATGCTGAGCCAAGCGTTGTTGCTGTTGTTATTGTTGATTGGTTGTTCAATGTGCTGTGGGGCATTGTAGCTATATTCGGCTGGTTTTGGGCAGAAGGCAATAACGGCGCTTCCAAGTTTTCCCCACTATCCACGTGTGCATAGGTCTCGATGTCGCATACCTCAATCTTAATAGCCATTTTTGTGGTCAATTCATCCTCATTCTGTTGGCCGTTCGCGTGTGTTGCCGAAGTTGTTGTGGTAGATGCATCAATGGAGAGTTGTTGTTGCGAGATAAGTATGGCGGATTTAGGTTTGCGTAGGGACGAACGCTTTTTCGGGCGCTTTGAGGAGTCAAGGTTTATTATCCAAACGTATGGCCAAATTAAAAGAGCGGTTAATGAGAGCGCATACGTTTCGAATGAATTTGTCGGATAATCCGTGGAGACGAGAAATGCAAGCAGTTCATCATATATATGTAGTTGTAGTGAATATGGGACGGGTGTTAGGTTGGTTTTTGCGGACAAAGCACAAGTATATATATACAAATGTATACATATACATATATATATATGTATATATTGATGTAGTTTATGAAAAGGCAGCATTAAAATAAATATGAAAAAACGAAAGAGCAGCAAAGTAGTGGTTTTAGCATTTATACACATACACCGTCAACATCAACAACAACAACAACAGCGTACGAATGCACTTGCACTTAACTTTCTAATATAAGCCGTCAACTTTGCGTACGCTACACACAGACATACATATGTATGTTGTGGCAAAGTACGAAAACTAACTCACCTTGAAGCTTTGGCGCGCTATGTCATTACCCTCGACAAACTGTGCCAAACTGCAGTACCTTGGCGGCTCACGAATCTTCTGATCATCGCAGCGATTGTCGATTTCGAAAACGATATTCTCGAAACCGAATTGTTGCGGATTCTCATCGCTGTCCATGCGTGCCAACTGTGCGTGACGTGGCGGTGATGAGTTGCGTCGTATGCTGCGCTGTCCACCCATGCTGAGCGATTTCTTGCGTATAGATTTTAGTGGCGGCGGTTGATTGTCCGAGCAAAGGGTTGGTGTATCGTCGGTGATAGTATTGTCCTGCAAGGCGCATGCTATGTCATGGCCCAGGACCGAACTAATATCATCCATAAACGATTCGCCTGGCACGACTTCCGTTTCATCGCTCGTTTCTGGCGAGTCGATGTGTGTGAAAGAGTTTGCATCGAGGTTCTGTATGTATAAAATGTATAGTATGTTAATTGTAGAATTTCGAAATTATTCCTTTCGTGCCAATATTTCTAATGTATTATAATCATGTCTTCATATCACCTAATATTAATTACAAAGTACCTGTATTATGTCTCCTAACTGCAGTGGGCGGTCGAGATCCTGACCTTCTTGTTGCCTGTCAAATATCTCGGAGGCTACGCTGCACTCCTCATCACCAATGGCTGACAGCACATCGCTAGCCTCGCCGCCTGGTAACTCATCCGACGAGGATAATTCCTAAATCACAAAAGTAAATAATTATTGCGAGTACATCGTCTTTTTGTTATAAAACATTAACCGTACGATACGTACAGTGGCAACATCTGTATCAATGATCGTTATGGCTTCGCTTGAGTATACATTTGGGGCTTTAGGGGGTATGACTACGTTGGGTACCTGCAACTGACAAACTTCGTCATCGAAACGTAACGCCTTAGACTTTTCGGGCATTATTTTCTCCTTCTTGCCGTCTTCATTGTTGCACTCGCCATTGTCACTCATACTTTGCTTGAGCTTCTTTTCCTTATCCAATTCACGACTCATATAGTAGTTGCGTTCAAAAACCTCTATTGGACGGTAGTCCGAAAGGGGATCTACAATCTGATCGCTTGTCAATATCGGCACACTGAGAAAGTCGATTTTACGTTCGGAGGGTGAGTTCATATCAGTATTTTCACCAACTATGGGTAAAGGATTGCCGAAATCATCAATATTAGCACCACCACTTAGAGACAATCTGCCGACACGATAGACAATCTCACTATTTCCTCCTAATCCATTTTCTTCTATCTCTTGTATTACTTCGGGCACGCCTGAACTGCGGCGACTATCCGCAAATTGACGTGGCACTGGAATGCTAATCGCATTGAAGAAGTTCTCGTCGACTGAGTCCCGACGTGTATCCGGTAGGGGCGATATGCAAGTTAGGCGAGAGGTTTCCATGGTAGGCGATATTATATTTATTGGTGGTATAATGGGTAATGGTGAAGAGCAAGGGGTAGATTCGCCCGATGCATTGGTTGGTAGTTTTAAAGCTTCGAATGGCGTTATGGATAGCTTGCGCTGATAGCGCTTGGGTCGGCCTGGTTCCGAGTGTTCGATGACATTGTACATGGCACGTTTAACACTGTTGGCCCGACATTGTAGCGACTCGCGTTCGGTAGACTGCAAGGAGCGACTATTGCGTCGCTCATTCGTGTTAAATTGATCTTTTTCGTCTTTCTCGATTGATATGTTTGGATTACTGTAAAAAGAAAGTATGACATCTTTTAACATATAACATTTTGATCTTGGCAACTTACAGCAGTGAAGCTGTTGTAGAAGCAGTTGGAGAGGCGGCAGCACTCTTTGATATAATGCTACTGATTGTCGTTAAGAGATCATCGCCGGCATGCGCACCGGTCTCTTCTTCGCGCAAGGCTTCTAATAACATGGCTAACTTCTCACGCAGTATGTCACATTTAACCAGTAATTGTTCATCATCCTTACGACTTTCAGAGATTTGAACCATCAGTTCGTCGAGCGTTTCGCAGAGCGTTTTGGTGGCAGTAATAAGCGTCTGTGAATCATCGGTCTCGACAATGTTGCGCAAGTTTAAATTAGCCGACGTTACCATGCCGGTAAGTAGTGCTTCTTGTGCGCTCGACAATGACATTTTCGGGGTCTTCGGTTGTACGGCGACAGCCTTTTCGAAGACCATTATGCTCCAACGATCCAACATTTTGGTACTAGCAGATTCGTAACGTTCGAGTATTTGCGGCAGATGTGCGTCATCATCACAGGATGAGCCCCAGCCCAACACACGCGCCAAATCGTTGCCGGTACCAAGAGGCAATACTGCTACTTGACATTGTTTCTACAGAAATGATATAGCGAGATATAAGTATTTGTACGATTTACCTTAACAGAAATCTAAAAAGTGTAATATTTCAAATGGCCGAGGAAGGTATTGGTAAGGTTTGGGGATTACTGATTTTAACAAGTTTGGAGGAAAATATTGGAAAACTTAATTCTTAAAGACATTTGTTTAAAAGTTGGAAATATTGCTCATTAAAAATAACTTACATGCATGCTAAAACGATCGATCTCGCTGAGCACCCAGCCCACAGAACCGTCACCAGAGCAAACCAATATTCGAAACATTTCGAAACGTCTGAAGAGCCGCAAACCCAAACTAGGACCGGTGGATATGAGATCAAAAACTTGAGCTGGGTTTAATAGCTGCTTGAAGCGTCGCAAAAACTTCACTCCCTGATTGTCGCCTGATTTCGAATTGACGAAAACCAACAGCGGCGAAAAGTTACCCTTCGGACTCTCCACATCCCAGGAGTCATCGTTGCCAATGGAATGCACACAGGTAGGCGGCACAACGGATAGCTTGGCCGGTCCTAGTGGACAAGCGACTGCAATTTGTGGTCGGCAAGCAACATGTACCGTTTCGCGACACCATAAACAACGCCAATCTTGCAAACGCAAAACAGAACCGCAAGTCTTCTTACAAACCGAGCAGGTCGATGAGACCGGTAAATTACCCTCCATCCATTGGTGTGGCATAATAATACTTCCGTCGCGATCCTCAATAATATCCTTGCCGACGGTGGCCAATGTCGTCCATTTACAATTGGCAATGGCTTTGGCAGCACAACGTTTATGCACTTTGCATTTGCAAACCTCACAAGAGAGGCCATGCGAGGTAACACCGGAGAGTACGTCGCGGCATACATTGCAGAAGGTGGGGCGGGCGTGGGAGGTCGCATACCAGTGATGATGATTGGAGAATAAATCATGTTGCTCAATGAAGAAGCTATCGCCACGCGCTCGCGCCGGTATTGAGGCAGATTTCAGCGAGCTTAGCCAGTCTTCCATTTCGCGGCGTGATTCGGCACAAAGCACAAGTGAACGTGTGGCGGTGATTACCTGCCGAAAAAGATTGTGCGACAATTATATTCTACTCTATCTTAATGGAAAAGGGTTATTTTTTTAGTATAGTATATAGTAAATGAGGGTTCATAGTAGAAGAGTATATATATTTATATGAAATTTGTTTGGATACATTCTTCTCTGAAAATATAGATATTGATTCTCAGAACATACCGTTCGCCAAGTGCTAGAAATCGCTTTTAATTTCAATAGATTTAGTTAAGTCTTTCGTTTAGTCTATTACACCAAAGTTCCCTGTTGTTTCTGCATTTTCTTAGACGACACAGAGGTGAATTGAAGACCTGGATGTTTGTGCTTTTGGGAATCACAAATTCGTTAGTACTTAATCTTACAGATCACAGCATGAACATGTGTATGGTTTCTAATACTGTTTTGAGTTGCTAATTAAATTTCTAACCATCTTGAAAAATCCGTTACTCGCAGTCAGATATGAACAAGAGATCTTATTTTCGGAAATAATTTTTCTTCGTCTGCCCATAGCACCTAAAACTTTTCTATTAGTAATATTGGCATATACTTTTTTCAGTACACAAAATTATTTCCTATAATAGCTACCTGTTTTCGTCGTATCTATCACATCCCACCAATTTACTCCACAGGTAAACACAAACTGCCTGCATTACAGCATTAGCTTATTGGCATTGACTAGCATAATTAAAACTACCTTTGTTGACAATTAACTCAGTTTTGTCCTTCGAGTGTTTATTACATAATTCCAATTTCAGCTGCCCAAATTGCGTATCACAAACTCAATAAGCTGTATGCCAGGAGGCTTCGGTGTCAAACATTTTACCTATAATTAGACTGAATAAGCTTTCGGCACATAGGTATCTGCATTAAGACATTATTTTCGTTAAGTGGCAGTCATGTGCAGTCATTTGTTAAACAATGATTGATTGACTCAAATAACTGTTCAAGTGATATATTTGTGTACCAAATATATACTATATAAGGGACATAGAGAGCATAATTAAGTTACAGTGCTTTCAGTAATGATATGAAATAGTTGGATGTTGTAGTAATTTTCTTAACTCCATAAAATGTTTGCCTAAAAGCAATCCATCGTGGCAAAGATTTCGTTGTCATCTCAAAGGCATTACAAAGGTATAATCTACTCCGAGCTGGTACTCTGATAATAGTTTCCAATTCTTTCTTCCAGTCAGGTTGATAATGACGAAATGGAACTTGCATAACGGGAAGACCTGGAATACTGCCTTGAATAAAAACTTTCCTGTTTCCTTTCTGTTTCTGCTTTACTATTGGTAGTAGAACATTTTCGTCTACGCCATTAAAGAAGAAGAAGTATAAAATTTCTTCCGATTCATATTTTTTACTCTCAGAAGTGTAGTAGAGTCTGCCTAAGTTCTATTAGTAGCAATTTGTGGTGATAATTCAAGATTTTTTTCTAGGCCATGAGTTAAGTCTATAACTTACCAAGGACTCCACTAATGCACATAAACAAGTTACTTGAAGGATTTCCATACTTCGAACACTAGCCTGTAAGAGCTACAAATAACCTCTGTGCAAATGTCTAATTAATGTTATGCTGGTAACTAGAGTAATTAGTATATCAGCTTTATGCAATATATTGCGCTTGCAGCAAGATGCCAACGATGTGTATTTCCGAGCAAAGCGTGCAACAGAAAAGTGATCAATAATAACAATATAATAATGTTATTTAATATCCCCGATATATTGGCAGCAAAGGCGGTTTGTTAAATTGAAGGACGATTTTATGCAATTGCAGCTCCATCAACGTCAGTGAAAGGCCAACGTCAGCCGTTAGCTATCATACTTTCTCATAATCGTACTATATGCATAAAACATAAGATCTGCTCAGTGGCTTGCGTCAATCCACACGCCATGCACATGAACGCAGTGGTGGCGCAAGCCGTTTGTGTAACTGTATACTTAGAGTAATGCAGAGATTTATGTTTGAAGCCACGTCACTGCACTTTGACGCCGGAGTTGCATGTAACCTCAAGTTGAATGGGGAATTGTAACAGGTCGCGCCTGCAACGTTGTTGACTGCTTTGCATTGACACAACACTTCACACACATACACAGATAAACTATTGCACAGTAGCACAGCATGCCACACAATTAAATTTGCTTTGCTTTTGAAGTAAACTTTGGGGTCAAAGGTAAAGTCGCTGCAGGTTTCGTAATAATATGCCAAACTAGGTGGTGGTGGCCATCGACAACATCCACACACGTCATAGAAACACGTGCGCAATATTGCTTTCTGTTAGCTCATAGAATATTCCTACTGACGTGGATTGGTTTTCAAGTAAAACAAATTTGGATTGCATAATGTTTTGATTAAGAATTTGAAAGAAGTGTTTTGGCAAGCCAAAAATGTTTTTGTGAATTTTTAATATGAGCGCAGCATAGATTAAAATGTTCTTTCGGGAGAAAACCTATATTTTCTAGCAAGGTAGTTGTCCATATTGAACAAGAGTAATATGCTACTTTGTTTACACCACTGTACATTTTGTTATTTCAACATTTTTAAAAGTTGAACTTTGCGCCGTTTAACGCAGCTTCTTTCTAAAGATTTTGATATCAATCATGGGCTTGTGCTAATAGCCGTGACCTTCTTTACAAGGTAACAAAATGTTTACTCCCGCCGATTCAAAATTTAGAGAAGCCTTTTAAACCTTAAAGATTTACAATAAATGTACGGACATTAACCAAATTTTCATATAAAAAATAATTTTCTTAATTCCCTTAATTCTTGTGTTTTTTCCATTTGGGCAGATGGGGCTTCATTCGGTTAATGGGTCGAATGATTGATTCGCTCTTAGAAAATCGGGTGGTTCAAAGAATATTCTTCGAAAAATCTATGACGAAATTGGTAGGAGATAAATAGCAAATGATCCTTTAACAAAGGAGACGACAAATAATAAATAAGAAGATTGTAGCGTCAACCAAGAAGAGAATGAGGCATTTATGTATGAAATATTATGTAACCTATTGGCATCTAAACGATCCTATTATACAGAAATTTACAACTCGTACAAATATTTTTGAAGCAGCATAATTGCAGTAAAATAAAATTAGCCTCTGCTACTGTAGCGTCATTTCTCGGCCGGTTGAAAACTTGAAGTAAATATGACGAAATCCTCTTAGAAGTATGGGCCAGTTTTACAGAAGAACTCAATTATCCACCTTCTACAACACATATCACCAACATAAATAGTGTTTTTCCATAACAGCCACTTGTAAGCACCCACGCACATGCGCTTTTACAATCACTGCGGCAATGATGCAATGACTTGCATGTTACACAGTGACAAACTTGTACTTCAGTGCAATTTACTTATTTTAAAGGATTTATCCTTTTTTTTATGGCGAAGCCAAATAGAATTTCCGGAATATTTCTGCTGATTGACGTCAGCGAAGTTTAAGTAACAAATCTGAAATAGCTTGTGCCAACGTTGACTTTTACATGCAAATATGCGAAAGTGCAACTAAGTGACAAAAACATGCGCAGCAACGAAGAAGTGTATATAAACCGAACTAGTCAATATGGTGGTTTACACGGCGCTACTAAGGTATAGCGATTTTTGTAACGTATTTGAATAGATTATTTTGCCGAAAGATATTTAAAAGGTTTGTGTGCCAGCTATATGCTATTGTAATCCGTTCTGAACTATTTTTGTGGAGATTACATTGTTGTCTTAAAAAATAATCTGTACCAAATTTCATGAATATAAATTGTAAAATGTGAAAGGTTTCCTTACAAGAACGTGATTCCAATTGTTCAGTTTGTATGCCAGCTATATGTTATAGTGGTCCGATATCGGTAGTTCCGGCAAATGAGCAGCTTCGTGAAGAGAAAATGACGTTTGCAAAATTTCAAAATATCAAAAAAAGATATCTTAAAAACTGAGGGACTAGTTCGTATATATACAGACAGACGGACGGACATGGCTAAATCAACATACTGATCATTTATATATATACTTTATAGGATCTCCGACCCTTCCTGCTGGGTGTTACAAACTCCGTGACAAACTTAATATACCCTGTTCAGGGTATAATAAGATATTTTGAAAATCCTTACAGGTTAGTACCACCTTAATTCCATTTTATATTTGTTTACCCATATAAACACTTAACGCTGTACATGACTCTTTGCGTAAACCCACTTACTGGCCTTTCTCTACGTTTTGTGTCAATAAAATTTCCACTCACGCATACAAAGGAACACAAGTAAACATACATACATACACACGCACATTCACACGTGCTGTAAGAGCGCCGTTCGCTCACTGGAAGGCTGTCAGCAAAGCAGGCGCCTGTGGAGTTGAATGTGTTGTGTGCAAAAGTTACTTGCGGAAGTTGTCAGTGGCGACAGAAAATTAATTCATTTGTTTCAAAAAGCGGAAAGGCATAGCATCAAAAAAACTGCAAGATTTAATTTAAAGCTTACGTCTGACACATACATTACCGATTATTATTTCTCATTCTCTTGCTGTTGGTACTGCATTCTGTTGCATTTATGCATTTTATTTAACGCATGTCACCTTGATTGGCTTTTTCTCAGCAGGTTAAAGTTATGTATTTTTTTTTCATTGCCATGAAAGTGCTTTCAATGAAAAAATTCGTGTCAACATTTCGTTTTTTTTAATTTCTGAACGATAGATGCTTGACAATTTGTAAAAAAATAAACAATTTCGTTTCATATTTGAAATTCAGGAATTTTGCTGTTTTGCTGCAAGGTCTCAGAAATTTGAAAAAAAAAAAATAAAAGGTTTATTTGTTCGTGAACAGTTATTAACTTTGCCAAAAACCGCTCCTTCATACTCTTGCAACTTGCCAGTACCAAAGCCTGGAAGAATCTTCACGTACATAAGGTGTGTTAGTTAAACGGAGCATATGGTGAGTGTGTACCGAATTTTATTCATTGTAAGTACAAATCGGCATCGTTATAAGAAAATTGCGAGCTCAGGGAAGTATTGACTCTATTCAACCCATTTGCAGCACACACACATACAACCATCAGCAAAGGATTCTCTCTGAATTTCACATATTGAGCAATGTTTTCGGTAAAAGGTTAGTAACCTATAACCTGGTGTCCAAATATTTGGCAGCTAGGGGCTTCAACAGTTTTTGTCGGACTTTTTTGGTCATAAAGTGGCATACATCGGGAATAAGTAGGCTTATAATACCATTTATTCCATTTTCACACTTTCCCTTTTGCTATTGAAATCGTCTGTGCCAAGTTAGAGTTCTTAGTGTTTAATTATGGCATTTTGTAGGTTTTCGGTCAATGGTGTTTTGTGGGCGTGACAGTGGTCCGTTTACGAGCATGTTCATTTTTCTTCCAAGAAGACGCATACCAAGTTTCAACGAGATATCTCAATTTGTACTGAAGTAACAGCTTGTAAGTATGGATGGGCAGTCACCCGGACTTCAACTCGTCTCGTCATTCTAAGCATTTATATATATATATATATATATACATATATACAGAACTCTATGACAGTCAGAATAAAAAGCTATCACTTTAGCAACATGTTGCAAGAACCCCAATAAAAAATATGTGTTAATTTTTCCAAAACCTCAAATTAATTGGGATGCCACCCAGGCAGGCAAAAAAAAAAAAATAAATAAATGAAATCAAAGTATACAATAATTGTAATGAATGTTTGGAGGAAGTGAAAGTTGAAGTTTTTTCAATTTGGATATTACAATTAGATTCAATAATTTAAAGGTATTCAAAATTGCTCTTAACAGTAAAAGCGCTGCGGCTTCGCACAAAAAATGTGCTATATATGGCATTAGTGTGACGAAATGCACTGAAAATTTGCATGGGTGGATGCATGAATAAAATAGACATATTCATGGAAAAGAAGAAATGTGGAATTTCGCTTCTGAAAATACCCTCCTATATCTGAAATGTTCAGTAGAGGAATGCTTTTGTGCCAACGTATTTATTTTAAACAAAAATTTGCACTAATGAACGTAGAATGCAATAAAAGAAAACGTTCCTTCTTTTTATGACATTGCACCCACTTCAGCTTTGTGTGTTTGTTTTCATGTTTACTAACCTTACCTCTAATGGCTGCATTCTTTCAGCCGAAAGGTGTTAAGTGCAATTTTACCCGAATTTGATATTTTCTTTATTGTGACAATTAATTGCTGTTTAAAAAATACATAGTTTAACTTCAAACAATCATTCTTTTTATTTTGATTTTAATCTTTGTATTCTGCAAGCCTTTTCCCAGTTACTATGGTTACATTGTGCTTCGTTATATGATTAATGAAGCCTTTTTCCTATGCTGTGGAAAAAACAAGCGGCCTTTGTTAATGTTCGCTTCTACTTGATCCGCTAATTGGGAGCGGAATGTCAGTGAATTTTAGATACCAGCTGGGTAATGTGCACATGGCCACCTGCTGCTTATACAAAAAAAAAAAAAAAAAAAAAAAAAAAAAAAAAAAAAAAAAAAAAAAAAAAAAAAAAAAAAAAAAAAAAAAAAAAAAAAAAAAAAAAAAACTGGAATTAAAAAGGAAGGAAGGAGGCAATGCGCTAATGGATAACCGCTGCAGGCAGCGGCTGGGTGTGGTTATCAATGAAAAGCTATCGAAGTTTGATCGTAGTTGTGGTCACCTTCAGCGATATTCACAACTCACTGCACCGGATTCTGGACGCATTTGGCCTTTTATTTTTTTGTTGCTCGTCTTTAACTTAGTACAACGTGTTCATAATGATGGGCTGGTTGTATAGGAGCATATGCTGATTAAATTGGTACTTTGTGATTTGTTTTTGCTATAAAATCTGAATATTGTCTCTATGGAGTTTGATAATATCAATTAGCAATATGTCTTATTCAATAAAATACTAACAGATCCCGCAGCAATTTTCCTTTTAATTAATTGGCTACTCAGTGATTAGTACTCACAATTGTTGTTTAATTATATAAAAACGAATTAGTTAATTAGAGAAATAATATACAGAAAGATATGTAGTTAATGGAGGTACATTATTTTTAGTTTCCCAAAGCATAGTCCAACATTTCTTCCTATATGCATCTAAAACAGAACTTTAAAGAACATTTGTAATACTACTAGTCACTTCTGCACTGCGATTCATTCGCTTTTCATGTGTCGCCCGTGGCGTATGAGTAATCACTCGCCTAACTATATTTGAATATAATATTATTATTGAAACTTTATGTATACTCTGTGTTGCAAATAACACTATTTTTAATACGCTTTGCGCTTATGCATAATTCAGGCATTAATAAATGCCATAATTTGAAAGTTGTTCTGTCGGCCGCCCTTGTCCTAAATATGCTTCAAAATTACATACTCCAAGAAATGTTGAGAGAAACGCGAACGCAAAGTGAGTTTTTGTGAACTTTTCCAAACTTTTGCCGATACTAAATGACTTCTCCGAAATATTAAGGTAGTCACTTTCTAAGTTTTTCAAATTTGTTTAAATTGCAAGGTAGTTGTTTCAATAATATTATGGCTTTTTTAAATGCAGTTTTTTTTTCAATAATTAAATTGTACTTTTTGATACTCAATACGCATTAAAAGCAAATTGATTGGCTGTTACCGACAGAAAATATTGGAAAATTCATAAAAATTATTTCACTTGCCCATAAAGCAAAGTTGTTCGGCTTTTCTGAGACTCTGAAGACATCAAGGGAAACGTCTTGAATATAATGTGAGTGAATACTTAGCTGTGCAAGGGTTCTGTGCAAAGTCAGTGCCGACGAACCGACTCTAAGTCGTGAAAAGACACAAACGTCTGCTAACCTTGCCAGCATCAGTATTGCGGAATGCTCATGGTATGATATTCATCAACTATCTTCAAAGAAAAAGCTAACTAACCACAACCGCGGTCTCGCCGAGACAGAAGAATATGATGCCAAAATTTCATCAGCTGGGCTTTCAATCTTTTCCACATTCACCGTATTCTACAAAACTGGTCACCAGCGACTATTACTTCCTCTCAGATCTCAAAAGAATGATCGTTGGAAAGAAATTTAGCAACAATGAAGATGTAATCGCAGTAAAGCTTATTTTGAAGCTTAAGGCAAATGTACTATACAGATGGTATTGAAATTATTTTTCGCCGCTAAAATCATTGTACCGCTCTCGAAGAATAGTAATATCAAATTTTATCAAAAAATACAAAAAGGGTTTCTTTGTTAGCCTGCGCACTTTTCAGCCCACCTGATATTTTTGGTATATGGCTTGAAAGTGTGTGTGTATGGGAATAAATTAAAACTTTGCTTTGTGCGCTTTAAATCGCTTATAACTGTATATCTGTTTGCAAAGAGGCTTTGAAAAATTTTGCTGTGACGGCACGCTCAAAGTGAGTGCAAAGTTCAAGCACAAACAAGTTGCTGCTTTCGCGCCATAAATCGTCTATACTCGTTTAAACTTTTTACGGAGCGAGCGTGTTTACGAGTTTATTAAAGGTAATGGTTTTGGTATTTATATATTTTACATCATATCCTCTCGTAAAAAAACTAGCATTTATATCGAGAATTAAAAATGCACTAGATTGCGTTTAGCAGGTGGTTGACAGCAGACCGGCAGATTTGAGTTGAGATTTGTTTGTGCCGAAAATGATAGTTTACGTTGTGACGCTACTGCTTTCTCTTCTTCTGTTTCAATATTTTTAAACTTCAAGCTAAGTTAGCTCTCAACTTCGCATTCAGTCTTCTGCATTATTAGCCTTCTTCAAATAGTCGCTAAAGTTGCAAAAAGCACATATTCTGCAAAGCATTCCTCGAAGCATCAATTATTTTATTCCATTTGAATATCAGCAACTAGCTGCACAGTAAATTCTCCGAAATTTAATTCTCCCAGAAACTGCATAACATGCACTACAGATGATAAATTAAATAAATGAAAGCGATCACAGTTTACTGATACTGCACTTCCTTCCTACCCTTTCACTTTGCAGTTTTTTACATGCGCGAATATGCGCAATTTAATTAATTTCATGCCATTCAAATTCACTCCCATTCAATGCATTTTCCAGCGATTTGCAACAAGTGTTAACACGGCGATAGAGTCACGCCAAATTGAATGGGCGGTGCTGAACACGCGACACTAATGGCCTTCATTGTAGGCTTGTGCATCGGCAGAATCAATCGCCAATGCAATCCAACATTTATAAAACTTTTAAATTCACACACACACATGCGTTTATGGGCATTCTCGTATTTTGTTTTTTTCCTTGCTTTCACGCTGCTACATCCATGCCATATAACGTGGCAAGTCATGTGTTGAACACAATGCTCGCAACAGACTGCAAACGACATCTGTCAAATATTAAAATACACGCGTTCTTATGGACGAACCTATTTTGACAGCTGCACGACTACACGACTGCAGGCCGACAGTTGTCGTTCTCGCTAACTTCAATTTAACCCTATATTTGCCAACGACAGTAGGACGACAGTAGAGTGGACAGTAGAATGGAAGATAGAGAGATGAGGTAGAGTGGTGATGCCACTAATATGTAAAATGTAAAACTATTCACAGTTCTAACAAACTTGATGTTATTTTACAGATAAAAGCATAAAATAGCTCTGTTACATCATTTGTAATAACAATTGATAATTTAAAGCAAAAAAAATATTACCTATTTACTTATTTTTTGCTTGAAAAATTTCACTTTGAAAAAAATATTAAAATTTCATCGAAATGCAAGGTATTAGTGTGGTCACAACGAAATTGTGTACATGCAAAATGGACAACTGCGTTGTTTTGTGTACATGCCGGCCATTGTTATGTTGCTGCGCTCTCACAAACGTTCATGTAGTAGGTTCACAACGCCATTTTCAGTTCAGTTCAGGTCGTGCTGCTGCAGTCTGTCGCGAGCATTGCGTTCAACATATCAATGTTAACGCTAT